AGATTTCATTTACATTTTTTTTTTCTTTTCTCATAATTTTTCCTTTCCCTTCTTTCCTTTCCCCTTCCCCTCCCACCACCCCTACACCTTTGGACTTTTCCTATTTCAAATTATCAATTATTCATTTTAATCATTTTAATCCTTATTTACACTTTCATGTTTTGTTTTTTTGAGACAGGGTCTGGCTACATAGTTCAGGCTGCCTTTGAACTCATTTTATAGCCCAGGCTGGTCTCCAACTTGCAGTGATCCTACTGCTTCAGCTTCCTAGATGCTGGGACTACAGACGTGTGCCACCACATCCAGCATCTATTTTTTTAAACCATATATATATTTTTTTGGTACCGGGGATCGAACTTGGGAACCTGTGCTTGTGAGGCAGGCATCAGAATCACTGAGCTAAATCCCCGGCCCTAAACCATATTTTTTGACAGTGAACTTCTTTAGAACTCATGTATTCTTTCAAGGCACAGATGGCAAACTGGTGACCTAAGCAGTGTTTTATTTAACCTAGAGTTTAAAAGAATTTCAATTTGTTTTCATAAAATTTCAAAATACAGACTTTTAGATAAAAATCTAGAAAAAAATCAGATGACAGGCATCACTGGACTTTCCTATATGGCAATTCTCATAGATTGGCTCTTTTTAAAAGAAAGAACTTCTTGTTACATCTAAGTTCAGCTTGATATCACCTCCTACCCACTGTCTCTAATTGTCAGGCTTGCTCTGTTGTTTTTATACTTCATTGTGCTTTCATGAGTATTATCTGTCTGCCTCATAGAACTCTAGAAATCCTCCCATGTAATTTGCAAAAACTTTCATTCAGTATCAATCTGCCAATCATAATATGGCTTCTCTCAGTTTTTAGGTGCAAATGAAGACCCATCTTTTGAAAGTTGTAATTTAAGTGCCATAAAGCAATATAAAATTGTCTAATTTCCTTTTTTCTATGCCAGAAGAAAGAAAATAGACACAGAAATTCTGTCTGCTCTAGTTTTCTATGGCAACAGGCAACTGAGCTGTCATTGCTTCATCGTAAAGAGTGAGGCAATTTAAGATAGGACCACAAACTCTGTCTGTGGGTTGGTTTCTCTCTCAGGGCCACTACAGAAATTCATAGGATTTTTGTATTTGGTTTGATGATTCATAGCTAACCACCTACTATTAAAGCACTCCTGCTGTCTCTGGTGTTAGCCTGTTTCATCTTGATACCACACATCTAATTCCTGCCAGAATTATTAATGACTTCTAAGAATAGGAAGATGGAAGTTTGAGGTTCTCTACCAAATGTATATATGACATATACTACATAGCATATGTAGTATATTACATATAATATATACTTATATATATACTACTAATAAATTACTTATTTTTGAAGATGGATATGGATATTCTGATTGCAGTATATTCAATAGTAACTCTGTTATTTTATTCCTGGGATTACTTGATATATTGGTTTACTTTAGGCAATTAAAGCAAAATGTACTTTTGGTATTCAATTTGGAAAACAGAAAAATGAAATGGTGATATTAACATATCACAAAGATATCAAGTTGACTAAGTCATTAACAACCTTAATTACTTAATGCAAATAACATTCAAATATATTATCAGTTTCAAAAATAAAATGACCAATCCTTAAATTAGTAATGTGAATTTTCATCTCTTATGATTAAGCAAAATATGATTTACAGATAATATCAAGCTCTTTTATGTAGGAAAATTTATCAAGCATTTCTTTCATTGCTTCTGATTTTTTTTTTTTTTTTCAGTATGGGAGATTGAACTGAGGACCTTGAGCCTGTGAGGCAGGCATGGTGCCACTGAGCTAAATCCCTGGCCATATTGCTTCTGAATTTTGAATGTTAGTACTTAATATACATTTCCAAGTTATAGAGGAATTTGTATATTTTCCGAGTATTTGTATGGCTTCATTATTTTACATTTAAACTTAAATTTCTGCCTCATCACATCTTGAAGAACAAATCCAATTTTAATTTTTTTTTTTTGTATGGCTATCAGTTTCTTTAATAGTATTTAAATTCATCTTTTCCCTACTGATTTTACATGCCAATTTTATAGTATATCTACTTAGATCTATTTATATATTATCCATTTGTTATTTTCTCTTGTTCTATGGCTTTTCTCTTCATGTGCCAAATGTTATTCTTTTTTTTTTTTTATAGAGAATTAAGTAGGTTTTAATACCTGGTAGGACTGACACTGCATCATTCCTCTAATTTTAATTGTTTTTTTGGCAACTTTTTCTGTTTTTGTTTTTCCAAATTAACTTTACAGTCAGCTTGTCTTTAAAATCAACTAGTTAGAAAGAAAGAATAAAAAAGAAAAACCCAAATAAAAAACAAAAAAAAATACTTGAGAGTTCTTTTAAAAATTATTCCTCAAGCTTCATGTACAATATTTTCATTGTTCCTTTCAAGCATTTTCTAATTTCCCTTATGATGTTTTTTGATATTAGGTTTATTTGAATAGTTAAAATTTTAATTATGTGAGATTTTTCAAAAAATTGTTTTTAAAAAAATTAACTTCTGACTTTATGGCTGCTTAATATATCCAATATGACATGAAAGCTTTAAAATTTGGCAAGGTGTGCTTTCTAGATAAATGGCTTTTCATAACAGATATATATTCAAATCTGAGGTTTTAAGACATACTTGTGCCCTTACTCAGTAAAGACCAACTAATCAATATTACATTTGTAATATTTTTCCAGAATAGCTGAGTTGTTTATTAAAAATGCAGATCCCTGCTGGCACCAAAGCAAACAGCCTGTATCACAGTCCTTGGGGTGAGGCCTATGACACCTGCACTTTTAATAATTAGGGTCTAATGTACCTTGAAGATTAAGTACCCCTGGATACCCAAGCTGGTTTTGGTCGTTGGGTATTTTTAACAAAACAGCTATGACTATTTGCATATCAGTCTTTTGTGAACATGTTTTCATTTTTCTTGAGTGAGCACTTAGTGAGGATTTGCTGGGTTGCAGAGTGAAGTGGATGGCTGTGGTGGGTAGACTTGTAAGTGGTCTTTACAGCTCCATCTCCTGGTGCTGGAGCATGGGGAGGATTTATGGCGTATTTTTAGCCAAAAGAGTACCACAAGGGTGATGATTGCATGAGGCTCAGCCGATTGGGAGGGCTCTTTCACTGCTTTTGAAGAGGGAAGCCACCAAAACATTTATAATTTTGAAGAGCTCTTGAAGAGATTTTAAGGCCCCATTAGCATAATATATGGCCAGTTTTTGCAACTATCCTATGTAAGCTTGAAATAATTGTATATTCTTCAAGTACTTGATGTGACGGTTCTCTAAATGTCCTATGGATCCAACTTGTAAACTGTGGTATTCAAATACACTATTTCCTTAATTGTGTCTGTTAATTATGATGTGTCAACTTGACTTGAGTAAGAACTGTTGAGCAGATGAATACAGCTCTTGGTGTATCTGTGGATGACTGACATGTAGGCCACAAAGTGAGGAAGGAAGACCCACTCTGGATGTGGGTGGGACCAGTGAATAGGCCTGTAGCCTGGATGGAATAAAAAGCCAAAGAAGAAGGAAGCTTTCCTTTGTTTTTTCTTTGGAGGAGCACTGGTTTTCATCATTGTCTTTGATTATATATCTCTAGTTGACTTAAGGCTTCAAGTGAAGACTTTTCAGCCTTCCACTACAGGTGTTTTGGTTTTCCCCACTCAAACTTATATAGGATTCTGATGTGAGGTCCAGGCCTTCAACCTTTGATTAGATTTTCAGGCTCTCCAGTGAACAGTTAGCCATTTTGCATTCTTTCACCCCTGATTCTGCAGGTGGCCATTGTAAACCTACTTACTATAGCTTTTATGTAATATGTATATAATTATATATATATATATGATATATACACAATATTACTTCTGTTTCTCTAGTGAATCCTGAGACAATAGCTTTTAAGAATGCCTTTCTATGCAAAAAAGAAGTATTTTGTAATCACTCATGCTAGGAAAATGGAATCTTTGATTTCATTTTATAATTCTCAGAATTGCATGCACTTTCTCTCATCTCTCATTTTTCAATTTAAAACCATAAAATTTTAGTATATAAGATAGTTAAGAATTCTATTTAATTTAGTGTTATAGGAAAATGGATGCACCTTGAGACTGTAATGTTAAGTGAAACAAATCAGACGCACAAACTTAAATATCACATGGTTTTTCTTATATGGGAAACGCAAAGTATAAATAAAAAGCAAAATTTTCAAACATTTTTAAATACCCATGTTAAATTAAGGAATTTACAATTTTATATCCTATATCTCATAATTTCATCTTCTTCATATTTTGAGCATCTGATTCAGTAGTTTGTTATTTCCATTGTCTTGTTTATTGTGGTTTATTTCTTCATGTGTTTGGTAATTTTCAGTTGTTAGTTCAAGTCTACTGGAGCTTTACCTGTGGTGATGCATTCACACTTGGTTTCGAAGTTTGTTTTCTTCCCAATTGTAATGGCATTTGGCAGATGTCAGAGCAACAAAATTGAACCACTCAAAATATTTTTTCTAGATTGGAGTTTTTCAAAATACAGATGTCATAGGAATTCTGGTTATAGACTTAATTTGAATATTGGCTTATAGGTAGAAATTCCTGGGGGAATAATTTTTCCTCCTTTCTTTTCCTGTCTTTCTCTACTCTTCCATGTTTTTCCTTCTCTTCTCTCTCATTTTATCTCTTCTTGTTTGTCTCATCTCTACCTTCTTTCTCAAATTTCTCCTTTTTCCTTCACTCTACCAGAACAAAGACAAGCGTGTATTATTTCCACTGTTTCATTCTGAGAGAATGATTTACCTTCCAGTGGACTACCCTATGGACTCCCAGTTCAATGGAAGAGTCTTCAGTCTATCCTTTTGTATTGTTTAATTTTTATCAGTATGTTTTGCAGTACATAATGATTACATTCATTGGGGGAGCTGGTTTATGTACATAACACATCTTAATTCTTTTTACTTCTTCTTTCCTCTTCCCCCCAAGTTCTATCTCTCTATTTGTTCTTATCCAAAGTATCCTTGTATCTAGTTTAACCCACAGTGTTATATCACTGAAGACACATTTTAACCTAGATGTAGGCCATGAGAAGTGTGGAATAAATTCCCAGAGCAGACATTAGTTCTTGTATCCATAGTACTTTACCAGTTCAGTCATACATGAAAGAGTATGGTTTTATATTTTATCTAATATTTTAAATATTTTCCCCCAGGAATTTTCTATAAGTATTTAATCTTCAATATTGCTAGAAATAGAATAAATACGAGAAAAGGAAAAAAATGGAAACAAAATCTTTGTAAATAGGGAGAGATTGAAGGGAGGGCAGGTGAATGGGGAAAAAATAAGAACCAAGATATATCATGTAAAGGCACAAATTTCCAATGATGAATGTCATCATATTGTATACCTAAAATGTACCAATAAACTTAATAAAAAATGATTTGGCAGTCTGTAGTTCAAAGTGCTTAATTGTAAGAGTATTGATTCCCATGAAGGGACATTTTAATTTGTATTAAAAGTAAGTTTGTAATTATCACTATGCACCCCACAAAACTGGCAAATGTATAGCTGTTTCCTTTTTGTTTTTTTATTACAGACTTATAAATTATTGGAGTATAAATTACATTTTATTTTTGTAAACTTGAAAGCTGGTATTCCTTTTCAATTTCAACTCTAAAGTCATGTATGGATTTTTAAGCATCTTTCCTGCAGTTATTCTTGCTTTTTCTAGTTACAAGACAATAAACATCAGTGTTTATGAGTACTGATAAGATTCTGAATTCTATTCTGTTCTCATTGTTCCTGCTGTGAAATGATTGCCTATTTTAAAACCACCCAAATAGAGACTGATTGCTATTATAAACAAAGAAGACTATTCATAGAAATAACCTTCCTCCTCAGTACAAGGGGCAGCAATGGTGATGAAAAGCCATATAATATACTGTGCAAGTCAGTCATGCAAGGCACCCCAGTCACAGGCACTGAATGTTTTATTCACTTGCTTGCTCATCTTTTAACCTGTTAACCTATCAACCGTTGACCTCTGTCTCTTTTCCCAGATGTAGCTATTTGACGTTTGCAGGCAAAACACATCTTCTTTTGTTTGCTATTCATTAGTGTCCATATATATTCATATAAATGTAAATATATTTAAATATTACATCTAAAAAATAAGGATATGCTGGTATAAAATGCCAAAACAGGCCACTTTTCTTGGTAATGGACTAATGCCATCAATGGGTCTTTCCAGAGGTTGAACTCCATGTCTTTCAGGAGCTTAATGACTCATCTGACATGATAACAAATTAGTTGCTTTTCTGGGGGAAGATTTGCAGAGGATTTCTTTTCCTCAGATGGACAATTTAGAAAATGCTGTGAAAGGATTTAAAAAAGAATGAAAGTAACCTAGTTTAATACAAATGGATTCCAGTCAGAAATGTGGACATATAATACTGGGATATCTTAAAATATATCTCCTCTTTGGCAGACATGTATTTGAGATAAGTATTTTTACTGTGGGTAGGAAATTAATTTTAGGATATATTTAGAATCTAATATTGAGGGTTTGATGAAAAATTACAGAAGTGATTTTTGTTTTATGAAAGTCACATCTTTACGATAGCAAAAACCTCACCCACATCTTTTCATATTTATATGAATAGCAAAGTAGCTAATAATATACTTAGGTACATAACCACGTTCTCTTATTCTCACAAAACAGTATTTGAGGCAAGAGCACAATGAAATATTTTATAAACTGGATTTTCAGTTTTGTAAGTAGCTAATATTAAATTTTTCTCTGTTCTGTGACAGAGCAAAATCATTATTCTCTGTGCTTTAAGAGTATAGAGGTTCTGTATTAAAAAGCTGTTGGTAAGTGTGGATTCAGTGAAGCAAGAACAGTGTGAAATGGTGAAACACTGTACTCTAGTATCAGAAAAACCAGGATGTGTATAGTTTCAATTTTTTAAGTGCATAATGGAGATATTATGATGATCGATATTATGTGTTAATTTGACTGGATCAGTGTGTTTGATGTTTGGGCAAATATTCTGCATGTGCCTTTGAGGGTGTTTTGGATGAAATTAACATTTAAATCAGTGGACTGAATAAAACATTACATTTTTTAAGGTGAAGAGGTCTCATTCAATTAATTAAAGTCTGCATAGAACTAAAAGTCTGATCCTCCTGAGAGTAAAAGGGGACTCTTTCTGCCTGACTTTTTGAGCTTGGACATTGTTATTTTCCGGTTTGAGATAGGAAGCTGAAACATTAGCAGTTTGTAAGTCTTATGCCCTCCGAATTTAGGACTGAAACTTATACCATCAAGTCTTCTGGATCACAGACTTGGGCTGGAATTACACTATCAGCTCTCTTCAATCTCCACCTTGCTGACTATAGGTCTTGGGACTTTTCAGACTCCATAATTTTATGAGCTAGTTTCTACCAATAAATTTCTTTCAATATGTGTATACATATATCCCATTCTTACTATTTCTCTGGAGAGCGCTGAATGATACAGATGGTAATTTCTATGACTGTGTCCATCATGGTATTCACTTCTGTCCATCTTCTGAGCATAATCAAAATTAAAGATATGACAGGCATGGTGATGTATTCCTGTAATCTCAGCTTTCTGGGAAGCTGAGGCAGAAGGATCAGAAGAATGAGCCAGGCTGAACAACTTAGGAAGCTAGCAAAAAGTTACCTAAAAAAAATGGGAGTGGTGGCTCAGGATGTAGCTTAGTGCAAAGGCCCTGGATTCAGTACCTTAAAACTGCAAAAAAATCTAAAATATTCAACAAAACTTAAACATATAATGACATAATTGGTAAGCTCACACTGCATTTGTCACATAGAAAGAGCAAAATTCACAATATGCATTTTTCTCAATACTTACTGATCAATTTAGACACATTAGCACCTATTCTGTCCAGGCTTTCTGCCACAGGATAAGGTAAGAGCACTTAGAATAAGAACCGTACTTTAAAATTGTATTTGTCAAAAATCCTAACTTTTTTAAGTAAAAAAATTGAGGTGCAAACTAGTCATTCACACATTTTATTTTTTTTGGTACCGGGGATTGAACTGGGGACCTTGCGCTTGTGAGGCAGGTGATGGCACCACTGAGCTAAATCCCCAGCCCACTCACACATTTTATTCAGTGCCTGCAATGAATCAAATCCTTAATGTTCTTCTAAAAGAAAGAACATTTAAAAACTTGACCTTGCCCAAGGTTGAAGTTGTTGATTTTTAATAACTGTATATACCAAGATGATCTTCACTCATCAAGAGTACTATAAAATAACATTTTCTGTGGAAGTTGTTTGATATTATCTGATGATATATACAAACTGCTCTGTAAGATTCTAGATGTGGTACCATTGATGCCCATGAGGTCCAAACAAAATTTTGTTAAGTGCTACATGGTGCTAGAACAGTAAGATTCCCATTAATTTTGGTCAAAGATGACACTGGAACTTCCAGTTCCCGTTTTAGTAAAGTTGCTCCTTCAGTGCACAAGGCTTTCACTCAGTTCTGAGAAAAGATGTGAACAGCCACCTAAGAACAAAGCAAGAACTATAAGCTAACTTGAGCCTGTTCAGCTTGTCAGGAGTTCTCATGCTGCATTGCTGTGTGTGTTGCAGAAAGAGCTGTCAGGAAGTCATCAAAAAGATCTGGTTTTAAAGTTTTGCCATTTCAGCATGAGGATACTGATAGAAAGCCAAGTAGGAAGACAAATATGAAATTGAGACTTCAGAGCCTCAGGTTGTCACTGATGATCTTTGCAATGTGCTGCTGGCCATGTTTGCTCTTAGTAAGGATTCTGAGCAGGGAAGGGAGGTCTTGCACGTCACTGAGTCTGGTTCTTTCTTTCTGAAACAGCTGTGCAGTTGTGAAAATTTAAAAGTTCTGGAGAAATGAATCCCACATATTTGGATTCATTCATTAATTTATTTGGTAAATATTTGTTGAATGCTTACCAGATGCCAGATGTTGAACCAGGCACTGGGCCTAACAATTAACATCAAAGGAGATAACAAGGGCCCTAGTCATAATGAAAGACACAGTTGAAAGGTGAGACTGATGAATCAGATAATCAGATGAATTGCAGCATTGACATATACTGTGAATAAATGGATATGGATGGCCTAGTTAGGGAGGTCCAGAAAGGACTGCCAAAGGAAGCAATGGTCAGACTGGTATCTGAAGAGTGAGCAGGAATTAATTAGAACTAGCAGCAGAGTGAAGAGTTGAACATTCAGAGGGAAAAATGTGTGCAAAATCCTATGGCAGGAGGGACCATGACCCTGTGGCGTAAGAGACTAAGACAGGGTAGGGATGGCTGGAGCAGGGAGATGGAAAGACAGGGCAGGAGTTGTGTGTTGGGAGAGAACAAAGTAAACAGCTAGGGGCAGACCAGGCAGGACCTTATAGGCCATGCCAAGGAATTTTATGTTTCTAAACAATGCGGATGTCTACTTTCTGGGCAACTGAAAGCCTTCCATTTCCACATCTCTGAAGAGTAAAAGTACTATACCAGGAATTAATATGGGTTAAGAGGAATATATCCCCCAAAATATTAGTTATGGATTCAACTCAGTCCCTTGAAAACCTATTATTGCAAAAACTTAAATATATTAAAATAAATGCTGGGAGGAGAGAGGCTGTAGAAGGTTAAGGCTGTTGATTAAAAGGAAGTGTATTGGTGGGAGGGAGGAATAGTACCACTCAGGAATTCAAGTCTTCTGCAGACTAATCTTATCTGAGCTATAGGCAGAGTAATTAACCTCTCTGAGCTTTGGTTGCTTATCTGCAGAATGAAGATAATGACGACCTGCTAATAGCTGAGCAAACCATTCTGTAAACACCAACAATTATATAAATAACATAAATAATTACATATCCTATTGTAAGATTCTAGTCCTTTAGAGTTTAAAAAGTTTTCTCTCTACCTAAATGATGTGGCAGTTTTTATTTCTGTCAAGTAGCATTTGTGTGTGTGTTAAGGTGAGCTTGTGTTTATTTTCCTATAAAACTAATTTTGTGTTCCCTGAAAATGTACTCTCTCCGTTGCCTCTGGTTTGAACAACAATACCATGAGTCCTAGATAATAATGGTAATTTCTACTGAAAGTAGACAGTTTAACAAGAGAAGCTGCTAAGAGAGCAGGAAGGATAGGATGGCATAGAAGAATAGGTCCTTTTAACTTCTTTTAAAGTGTGAACGTTTTTTTACCTGGTAAATAAGAATGTACAATAAAATGATGGCGATTATATCAACTCTTGTTAAGCAATTCAAATTGGATCAGCAGGCACATAACATTATGCCAAGAAGTAACAAAATGAAGGTGCTCCTCATGTTCTATTGTGGATTTACTGATTCACATTTAAATTGACATCCCTTTTGTGATATTTCCAATAATTTTATGGGAAGTATTTACGAAACTATACTCCCTCAGCAGCATAAAAGTTGCCTGCTTCTGTAATTATCCTTGGATGTAATGCCTCAGTTTTCTTTATAGATGAAAAAAAATCATAATCAATCTTTTGGAACAATAAAATATTTACAGAACTGAAATAGCTATTTGTGAACTTGGAAATACTCTTCAAGTCTTTCTTTTTAAAATTCATGCCTAGTAAATATGTGGGCTGTTTTCATGATGGTACGGTGACTCAGACATTTTATGGCAGTGTTTTTGTGGGTGTGATTTGGCCTAGAGCCCAACCACTCCCTGGAGCTCTTGCTTAGTGTCTATGCCTGGCCAATAGGGCACAATGAACTGGATGGAACTAAACATTATGTAACTGTGCCTTGCATTATGTAACTGTGTTTCTCTTGCCCTTTTGCTCATCTAAAGGGAAAAGTCGGTGTTTGATTTTTGTTCAGTGCAGGCTGAGCAATGTTTCCAACATGTTTTTTGTGTTTTATTAAATTCTCACCTGTTTGGACCTTCTTTTCCAGTGCCCATTTCCTTCTGCTCCGGTACAGCTGTGATTGGTTTTGCTGGACATTGAGGGTCAGGATTTGCAGGCAAATCACAGGAGTCTTTCTTGGAGATTTTATCTATGGCAAATAAATAGCATACATACAGGAGAATATGTGCTACTCTTGACATAGTCACTTTGGACAAGATCAACTGTAGAGATGTTGCTTGTTTCCCAGAATGATTTTTCAGAAAGGCCTTCCCAGGCATTCTTGCTAAGCACAGTAAGACTTTCCCCAGGAGAAGTTAACCTGTACACATTTTCAGGCCAATAAAAAATACACTGAAAGTCCATGTATTATGTAATAAAAAGTTCACATGATATATTTCTTTTTGATATTTACAAAGCTGAGAATAAACATTCACCACCCAAAATGCATTTCAGATTTTGTTCACATATTCATAATGTATGCCAAAAATGATGCATCATAAAATTCAGTAAAGTAAAACAGGCAGAAATGATGCCATTGATATTATTTTAGAATTCACATTCTATTTTCCTCTGAAATAAAATCCTTGGCCTGCCTCGCAAGCGGAAGGACCCAAGTTGGATCCCAGGTACCAAAAAAAAAAAAAAAAATCCTTGATTTTGATTAGATTATACTTAGCCATGACATCCTTTCTGAAGAAGTAATACAAACTAGTATATGTTAGCTTATTTGTAGCTCAGAAGTTAAATTTTTTTCTGTCAATACTACATATATAATTTCAAATTACTATGATTTAAATTGTAATTTACTCAGAATAATAAGCTCTCTAGTAAGTATTTGGATTACAGAAGTTTTTAATGAAAGTAAATTACTTAATATTAAAAGAAAACATAAATGGTAAGAAGAAAAAAGAATACAATTATCCACAGTTTCTAATTTATTTATTTAATTTATTTATTTTCAGTACTGGGGATCAAACTCGGGATCTTGTGCTTGCGAGGCAGGCCGCAGAACCACTGAGCTAAGTCCTCGGCCCTCTAATTTAATTTTAATTGAATGTGTGGTACTTTGAAAATTGAAACTAAGGCCCAAATCATAAATCTTATTCTACTGCAATATATTGTAGTTTAAAAATTAAAACAAACTCAATATTGAAAATTTAAATTTGGAAAAATGGTAAATGTGTGATCACTTTGCAAAAATTTTGACCATATAAATCCTTTATAGTACATGAAATTTTTATTGATCTACATAATCTTTCAATATACAGAACTTTTTAGGAATGTGTTTCAGGAATAAAGAGAATCATGAAATTTTTTTTTTATTTTTTAGTATGGGGCATTGAACTCGGGACCTTGTGCTTGCAAGGCAGGCGGCAGCACCACTGAGCTAAATCCCTGGCCCGAGAATCATGAAATTTAAAATTAGTCTTAAAATTTATGAGTAACAAAACACGAACCCCTGGATTTCTGAAGATATTTTCTTTCTTTATTAAAATATCACTTCCTTTGTGAGCCTGCTTTGAACTCCCAGGTTGAGATCAGATGATCTATTTTTATTTTGGAACTGCAATATTTTGATCAGAAGATAAAAAAATGTGGTACTAAATATGTTTTCACTAAATTTAAATGAAAAGTCCCCCTCTCAACTCTGATTTACTTAGGATATCAAGATCCTCGAGGTAGTTGTACCTTTGAAGTCTGTGTGAAAGGACTGTATTTCAGGTGAAAATGGCAATGTGTATGGAATGTTAATGAAAATTGTAGGATTGATTTTTAAAAAATACATTCATAAGTTTTATCAGTAATAGTGCCTTTTAGAGTTAAAGACAGCACTTTGACTATGTCATTTTGTATAAAGAGGTGTTTGATAGAAGTGTGAGAGAAAGATCAGTATTCTTTATGTGTTTGGATCAAGGCATAGTTTCCCATTTCTCCTTATCCAACGAGAGAGAGAGAGAGAGGAAAAGAGAAAAGAGAAATCATTTTTCAGGTTTATGATATTGTGCAGCATTATAAGTTTTCATATTGCTACCCAAGGAAGCAGCATGCTGTCATTTTCCCATATCCACCAACACTGGGACAATTACTGTAATAAACTTCATAGCAGAGCTCTTCATCTCTGGCTACTGATATCTAGTGTGTTTATGGATTGGAACCCTAGAGGCTGCCTGTTGTATGCACTTCTGTATTTTTTTTTTTTTTTTAACATGGAAAGGATCTAGAGTTTTCTTGAACTCTTCAAAGGAGTCACAACCCCTAAACAGCTATGGATTATTGTGTTCATATATTTTTTGTAAGAAAATGTGCCCTAAAGGAAAATTAGGATTAAAATGGACCATGGAATATGAGTTTAAAAATCAGAAAAAACTGAATATAAAACAATCAGAATCTGTGAAATAGTATTTCAGAGTCTTGTAATGACTATTTCTTATAAAGTCTCACAAATATCAGCTGCACCATGTACCTCCATTGCTCATTCAAGCTACAGCATTTGTATTACATTTGATTTATTACTTTTCTGCTAGTAACAGTTAAATGATTGACTGTTTTGCAATAGTTCTTTTCTTACATTTTAATAAGAAATTTTGTTTATCATCATAACATTTGGATAATATTAATTCTAAGTTGGTCCTAGAACATTACTAGGTCTTCCAGGTAAGGGACATTCCATGCCCTTCTAAAATGACACTACCTCTATTATTACAAGTCTAGGTGATTTAAGAATTTATTTCATGCCAACATTTCAAGCCCTTCTAAAATGACACTACTTCTATTATTACAAATCTAGGTGGTTTAAGAATAAATTACAACCTAATTTGATTTGTGAATAAACCATTAATTATAAAATAAATACCCAATAAGTTATTGATTATGATGAAAAGTGAGATACTATCTTTTCTTGGATTCAAAGCAGAACAACAACTTTAAAAATCTCAAGAGGAATTAAAACTAAAAGATTTCCTTAACTGTAGTTCAGTATGGGTGTCTTTTTATCCACATGGCATTTAATTTGTGGAAACAAATGGTCAGAGTGTTTGCATCATCCTCATGAAGAAGAAATCTAAAATACAAGGCAAATCTTGCTCTGGCATCTGGGTGAAGTTTTGTCAACTGTATGTTGTACTTCTTCCCAACTTCACACATGGACAGGAGGAGTCCCTCTTTTGTAGCTGCCCAAATGAATAGTCTGTCCTTCTGCCAACCACTCTTTGTACCTTATGTAGCAATTGCCAGGTCTCATCAGTATACTTGGTCAAATTCTGCCCTGGAATGTGTGGCTATGGCACATAGTGAAATCTAGAACCGGTGTTATGCTGTGGCTGCTTTTCTTTAATGTGCAAGGAGGAGCGCTATTGATTTTGCCCTCCACACAGCCGCTTGAGTCTGTCTCCAGTGTGGCAACGTATCACACTGGGGCTGTGTAACACACTTCTAATCTGCTCGGCCCCCTAGTAGCAGTGCATCATGGAGACCACAGAAGGTGTGAAACATCTGTTTCCCTCTTCAAGTGAGGAAATAAGTGATGTGGAAACATATTAACCTTTTGCACTTTTTCCCAGCGGCCTTAAATGAGTACTGGAAAGGCAGGAATTCAAATAAAGAACCTACTTTGGAATAAGGTTGTGAGTTACAAACATAATGAGTTTTATTTTTATTTTTTGATGGATATAAGAAAGAGAAGACTTAAAAATACATTAATTGTTTGGAATTACTCTGGAGGATGGTCACTTGATTGAATTTCTAATTCCTAAAACACCAAATATATTGTGGGTTCTTTTCTCAAAAATAAATCTACTTTCATTAAGAACCAAGAGTACATGATTAACTCGATGGTGGATGAATTAGTGGAGACTAAGTCTGTATACTTTTATTATACTTATAAATGATACTATTATTTTTTATCAATAAATGAGCATTGGAGTAAATGTAATAAATAACATAATTTTAAGAAATATATAATTAATGATTATCTTATAGCATTAAGACTTTTTTTTTTTGGTACCTGGGATCGAACTTAAGACCTTGTGCTTGCCAGGCAGGCGTGGGTCACTAAGCTACATCCTAGGGCCAAGATTGTATTTTTGATTCAGCTATTTTAGTTGTTAGAATATATAATGTAATTAGAATAATTTTAATTTTAAGGCTTTGATCACAGATTATTATATATTTGTAGATTGTCAAATGATATGGAAATAATTGATAAACATTACCGCAATTCATATAAAATGGAAACGGAAAGAGTGGCCTAAAATATTATTCACAAGAATAGAAAAATGGCATCTTTTATATTAAGAAATGTACATGCACTCAATTAAAAATCCAGAGGTGGCCTCAGAGTAGATGAGAGTTCTGGAAACCATCCCATTTAAGAACTTAGGTTCTTTACCTACAGTATTGAAGATGCAGTGATGGCCTAAGAGTGTTCTCAAAATCCTTGCAGAGACGTTATATAGAAAAGCAAATAAATTTAGTTTTTATATTGAAGAGGGCAGCAGGAAGACCTACCAATGGAATTTACAAATGAACCAACCAGCCCCCAAAACATTTCAACAACTTGTCTAAGAGTGAAACACACTGCTTTGTGGGGCTGTGAAAGCCGTGTTGGCTGGAGGTGTTCAGAAAGCTTGAGCCCTGCTTAAGGAGACAGTATGGGGTCAGCGCTGAGGTGTCCTGTATTTAGCTTTAAAGTGCTATAAAGTCCTGAGGGGATATTTAGAACGATCTCTGACTTTAGGACACATCGCGTCAAATAATCAACAAACAAAAAGCGTGTGGCTCCATCTGAGGTAATTTTGGTACTGACCAAGGGGGCTTGTCATCTCCCAGCCTCACACTTGGTTTCAGGGACTTCTTCATTGAGATCAATTCATAAAGAAAACACATTTTATGAACAGATATGAAGGAATGTGGTGAGTTACTAGTGCTGGGTACTGAATAAAAAAGCTTTAATCCTTACATTACTTATTCTCTGGGTGATTTTGGATAAGTTGCTTTTCTATAACAGTTTCCTCATCCATAAAATGAGTAATACTTTTTTCATGGGGATTTTTGTGAGGATTAGATAAAGATTCCATTTGAGAAAAATGCAATATAAATACAAAGTGTTCCACCAGACAGATTGGCTCATTTGCCTTTCTAAAAAAGAAATATTAACTCTTTCAGATCTGCATAGCACTATCATATGTATTGCAAGTGCTTCCACTAACTTAAGACTTAAGTCCCAGAAACTAGGAAAATATAATGCAATTTCCCACAAATCAGCTGTATTCTTTAGCTG